TTTTTCTTTTTGGCTTTTTTTTTGCCTCTTTTTTTTTTTTTTTTTTTTTTTTGGTAGGGAGGGGCTTTTCCTTTTTCTTTTTCTTTAAAAGCTTCTGCTGTGGTTTTCTTTACTACCATGATTAGTATATTCTTCGTTTTCTGAATTGGGAAAGTTTAGCAAAAGTCAGTAGCATAAAAAATAAGCTTCCTCCTTCAATGTGCCACACCCACACCAATTAACAAGGTGTTTTGTGTAATCTTTTCAAGGTGTGTAGATATTGAACATTTACAATCTTATCTGTACTGGTTGAATAAGCAAGGGGTGTTTCCTGTCATTATACATCTACTAGTATAGTCTTATGATGCAACTATAAGCAGAATATTGTAATTTCAAAATATTTTCATTTGTTAAAGGATTAAATTAGGGCATGTCTTAGGAATCTGCTAAAAAAGTTTTACATGTAGATGAGAAAGTAAGATTTAAAAATAGGAAAATAATTAATTTCAGCTTGCCAATATCTTAAAATTCAAAATTGCTTATGGTATTGGCAGACATTTTGTTGCTTTGTCTTCTGTTTACTTCTTGGATTTAATTTTTTTTTTTTTTCTGATTTTTAAAGAATTATATGAGAGGATATTTTCGTCATATAATTGTATCAGGATGCTAAAACATAGCCACATGTAACTTTCTTTGATTATAATGATAGTTTGAGTTGTATGTATATAGATGTTTTTTTTTTGTTTTTTTTTAAACCTTAAAATTGTTTTATTAATAAGTGTACAAATGGTGATGGTAATATTAGCTGTTTCTTTAAAAGTGGGAGGTTAATGAAGATCACTTTCATTAATTTTTTTCTGCTTAATATTGTGTGAATTTTTCTATTAATACTTGTACAAAATTGATCTGTCTGTAAATTTGGGTGTGTCATAATCCTTTCCAGATATTTTTTATGCTAAGAGTATACTGCATATTGTAGGTTGGATGAACGCTAACTCAGATAATTCTAACTCTGAAATTAATTTTTATTGCAGTAAAAAGAAAAAAAATGAAAACTATTTTAAGTAGATAGTTGTCAGTCTAATTACAATTCCCTTTTAGTATTTAAAAATCAGTATACATGGAAATGACTTTTTTCATATTTATTCATAAAGAAATCTTGTAAAAAAAAAAAAATGATTAATTCTCTCTCTCTCTCATATATATATATATATATATATATATATATATATATATAAAATCTTTAAATTTTCTTTGAGAATAATGAAAACTCTGATATGTAGTAATCTATTTCAAGTAGAATCTTGTCTAAGCTTTCCTTTTATATTCATTTTCCACATCTGGTTGCTTCATTCACCCTGTGCCTCCATCTCTATAGCTGTAACCTAATGGACCTAATTGCCATGGCAACCAACACATCTTTAGCAATTAGCAGCAGTAGAAACAACCACTGCTACTCTGACTGCTTCTGCTGCAGTCACCATTACTGCTATTAGCTGACATAGCAATGGAGCCTGTCACTTTCATTATGGCTTCTGCTTTTACTTTGCTCATTACACTAAGGTAGAAACCAGTCCAGATATTAGTTATTTCTTCTTAGTCTTGTATAATATTTATAAAGAATCATTTTTATATTGGGATTTTTTAACTTTATATGTAATAATTGTTTGTAATGGCATACAAGTGTGCAGCTATATGTGTTTATATTAAACTTGTGTCTGAGAGTGTATACATGTATGTATGTTTATGAGTAGTTGCAACAGGTATATATGTATAGAGTTATATATGTGTGTGATAATATTCTAGGTACTTGCTAGCCAGATGTTGACAATGACTGAAATTATTAAATTATCACAGACACTTATACTTAATCTTAAAGCAAAATATATACTTTGATGCATACAGTGGGATAGAGTAAATTCAAAATGTTATGCTTCAGTAATTTCATGTGTTCCATAACCTCCAAATCCAGAAATGCTTTGCCAGAGGTCAGTCAGCTTCTATTTGGATTTTGTCTTTAAAAACAGACAAAAAATAACTGTACGTTTAGTATTTACAGAGAGATTTATATAAATTGGACAATAATGTTTTGAAATTATATCTATAGCAAAGTTGTTTTTGTCAGGCCTCATAAAAGCTGCCCAACACTGTAACCATCATCTTCCCTGTTTATTATTAAAATAACTTTATAATTGCTGGACTTTGCTTCCATATTTCCTTCAACATAGTAATCTGTTGCTATGCATTCGTATTAGAATAATATTAAATTTAGTTTTGTTGTTTTAATGACAAGGAAGAATGATTAACTATTATTTTATAAGGAAATTACGTGAAAAGATAGACAAGTCTATCTAGATCATTTATTTAACTGAAACCAATTTTTATTTACATAGTAATGTATATGTTCTGATTAATGAGGCTTGGATAATGTTATAACAAATCAACTTTATTGATTTTAAAATTTGTTTGTTTATAAGTCATGTTTGTTTTTGATATGAAGTTGTTTTTATATTTATAGCAAAATGATGACTTTAGCATTTACCTTTTCTGTCCCAATTGATCCTATTTAGATGAAAAACAAAAAATAGATCTAACATGGTGCCTGTTTGCTTGCAATCTCTGTGAATGCATTTTTTAATGGTCTCTCTTGAACCCAGATATTTAAACAACCATCTCTAATTACATTTATTTAAAATACATGAAGTAGTCGTTTTCAGTAAACCTTTGCAGATATTCTTGTGTAATCTCTTAAATACTCTTTCTTATATTTTCATATCATTTCTGATGCTTTTGTAATGTATCTTTATACATATGGGCAGAATAACCTGTGTATGCATTCATGAACACACACACACACACACACACTTTAACCAGTATTGATTTTCTGTTATCTTATTCTGTCTCCACTATCTCCTCTCTCTCTCTCTCTGGCCTGTGTCCAGACTTGCTGTAAGGTGCATTTTCTTTTCTGTATTTACAGCCAATATGATTGCTATTGATAACATTATTATCTAGTTATGTTTCAGTCTATTTTATTTCATCATGATCTTTTGATTGCCTATTGATACATTCATTTTCTATGCCTTTCAAGGTTATTTAAAGCCAGAAAATATTTTTTAGATTGTAAGATATTTTTTTTTATGATAATAATGATTTAGTGATAAAAAAAAGTTTAATTAACCCATAACTGGAAGGAGAAGAGGTGGATTCATACCTTTTTCAAAGATATTCAAGAATAAGTTAATATAACAAACAGCTGGAATTGAAATTTGGCTCTCCACTTAAACTTTATCACTCTGTGACTTCATTTGCTGTACAAAAAAGTTTATTCTGCCACTGAAGGTGACTCTGATCCCTGAATTCAAATTTGTTTGAATTTCTTAGTTGTGTTGTCATATCCTTCTATGGCAATAGTAAACAACTTTGAGGGAAATTAACAATAAGGAGCCCACAATTGAGAGGCATTGAAAAAGAATGCAGTAGAAAGGGAAGTAATATTAATAATGCAGAGTGCTAAAGGTTAACAATATCGAGCTCTTATCCACTACATCACCAACATATCCAAGCTTACAGCGCCTGGTATTCCTAAGTCGTTACCCATGTAGGTACTGACCAGACTCGATGTTGCTTAACTTTAGTGATCATGCAGGAACTGGTATTTCAATATGATGTGGTTGTAAGCCTTTTCATTGTTTAGTGTAATTACCAAAAAAAAAAAAAATTTTTTTTTTTTTTTTTTTTTTTTTTTTCTTTTCTTTTCTTTTCTTTTCTTTGATTATGAACAAATGATAAAAATACTGTTACAAATATTTAACTTTCATCCTGCACTGATATAATTTTCATATGGAATCCTGTC